GATCCCCTAGACCTGAGGTGGGGAACGTCTGGCCCATGGGTCCCATGAAATCATTTGGTCTGGTTCAGCCAAGGCAGCTGCAAGTAGGACTCAAAATTCAATAAATCTCAGAGCTTTTTTCATAGTAACATAAATTTCTATTAAGTGATGTTATAAATATTCAAATGGTCCTTGGCAGGAAAAATGATTCCCTAAACCCCTGTCCTAAATCTATCACCCCAGTGACCTCTAATCAAGTGCTGGGGTTGTGGTCTGGTGCTGTAGAATGAGCACTGGATGGCTAACCTCAAGGTTGGCAGTTCAAACCCACCAGCCACTCCTTGGAAATCCTATACAAGGTCACTATGACTCAGTACTGACTCAAAAGCATTTAACAACAACAACAATCAAGCGCTATGTTGCTTGAGGTCTCAGCTCTGAGACAGGATGAAGCAGATGCTCCAAGACCTGCTAGAAGGCAAGGCAGCCATGTTTCCTAAAACATAAAGTATGGCTTCTCGGAGACCTTTCATACTTTTCCTGTATTCACAAGGAATTCTGGTTTTTTGTGCTCTACAGTCCTATAAAGAAAGATCTGATTGTAATTGAAAATTGCAGAAGGGCAGAATTAAGGTTAACTTCGAATTTCCTGCTTCTTGTGCAATTAAATCCCCCCCATGCCACTGAGTTAATGTAATTTTTCCCATATAATTGAGCCTAAATTACTGAGCAAATGTGGGCTATACAGAGATAATGAAGTGAAATTAGTAAAAAGTTATAATTACAGTACTTGGATTCTTAAGAATCAAGAATAATGTCCTTAAACCAATGAAATATTTACAAAATAATCTATTAACATATCAGATTGTAGTAAATGAATTTCTAACTCAAATATGCTTTGCAAAACAACTATTGAAATAATAACTTTTTTTAAAAACCTCAAGGAAGTTCTTCTGATTATGACTACTATTCTTGTTTCCTTTAGCTTCTTGTTTGTTTGGTTTTTTCCTCCAGCTATTCCTGCAGGTACAAGGAATGTTTTCAGATGTGAGATATCAATCTGTATGGGTTGTTCCCCTCAATTTGGCCTATGGAGGCCCTGTTTTTAATGTTAGTTTTACTATTCATTTGTATTGTTTAGTCAAAGCAGCAACAGACAGAGTCTTCAAAGGAAAATAGAGGTTGCAAAAAATAAATCTTTCCTTAATGTGTTTAATAAGGAGACTTGGCCTCTGAAAGAAATGGACCATCACTGCCCATAAAGAGAAATGGGAAGACGCCTCCACTAGCGTAGAGATGGCTGCACTCTAGTGTGCTGATTATAAAAAACACCTAGTCATACAGATGGCTTGCAGATTTCCACTTCTCTGTAGTTCCATCTGTTTTGTAATACAAAGACTATGCTCCCATCTCCCACTCAGAGTTCACTCAGTCTCCACTGAGTGCTATGCTGACCTCGTTCTGCAGACTGGGCTCTACTGGGAGCGACTGTAATTTACAATTGTCATTTTTGGTCATCTGGGCTTCCATGTATGCCTTCTTTAAAAGGCCCGTTTAAAAAGATCATTTGCAATTCATTGAAAGAAAAACTTCAACCTGTAGAATTTATTTGTTATCCAATATTATCAAGTTCCAAGGAAAGTAAAATATTGTTCTTGTTTATTTCATATTCTGGATTTATCCAAAACACATTTCACCAAGCATTCACATAACAGAAGGTTGAGATTAGGATTACTTGATTTAGCAAAAACAACAACAACAACAACCATGCTCAACGGGCAGTTAAATTTGAATTTCAAATCAACAACAAATGAGGTTTCAGTATAGTATGTCCTCAGTTTAACTGGGTGACCTAACCAAGATGAGGAGACCAAACCAAGATTCCAGAATTGGATGGGGTGAAATGATGGGTCCTGATACTCAAGGTGCTCACTAAATATAACTTTTATTTTAAATGTTGCATATTTGAATTTTTCACATCTTATAGGAGTCTTGGTGTGGCACTATAGAATAAGCACTCAACCACAAGGTCGGTTTGAACTTCTAGGTCGGCGGTTCAAATTCACCAGTCCTTCCTTGGAAACCATATACAGGGTCACATTTCTCAAGCTGAGGGAACTGAAGAAAAAAATTAAGTCTCGACTTATGTTATTGAAGGATTCTCTGGGAAAATTATTAAATGTTGCAGAAAGCATCAAAAGAAGATGGAAGGAATACACAGAGTCACTGTACCAAAAGGAAATGCCAAAAGGAGATGGTGGATGTTCAACCGTTTCAAGACGTAACATAGGCTCAAGAGCCAATGATACTGAAGGAAGAAGTCCAACGTGCACTGAAGGAATTGGTAAAGAACAAGACACTGGGAGTTGATGGAATACAAATTGAAATCTTTCAAGAAAGTGAGACAGCACTAGAGGCACTCACTCATCTCTGCCAAGAAATTTGGAAGACAACTATCTGGGCAACTGATTGGAAGAGATCTGTATTTGTGCCCATTCCAGAGAGGTGACCCAATGGAATGTGGAAAGCATTGGACAATATCTTTGATATCTCATGTGAGTAAAGCTTTACTAAAGGTAATACAGAAATGGCTGCAAGCAAACATTGACAGACAACTTCCAGAAGTTCAAGCCGGATTCAGAAGAGGATGTGGAACAAGAGATCTCATTGCTGATGCCTGGTGGATCTCAGCTGAAAGCAAAGAATACCAGAAAGATGTTTCCCTGTGCTTATTGACTATGCAAAGGCTTTTGATTGTGTGGATCATGACAAGCTATGGACAACATTGCAAAGTATGCGTATTCCAGAACACTTAACTGTGCTCATGAGGAATCTGTACCTGGACCAAGAGGCAGTTGTTTGAACAGAACATGGGAACACTGAATGTTTTAAAATTAAGAAAGGTGTGAGACAGGGTTGTATTCTTTCACCATACTTATTCAACCTGTATGCTGAGCAAATAATCTGAGAAGCTAGGTTCTATGAAGAAAAACGTGGCATCAGGATTGGAGGAAGACTCATTAACAACCTGTGATATGCAGATGATACAACCTTGCTTGCTAAAACTGAAGAGGACTTAAAATACTGATGAAGATCAAAGAGCACTGTCTTTGGTATGGATTGCATCTCAATGTAAAGAAAACAAAAATCTTCATCACTGAACCAATAATATTATCAATGGAGTAAAAATTGAAGTTTTCAAAGACTTCATTTTCTTGCATCAACCATCAACACTCATGGAAGCAGCAGTCAAGAAATCAAATGACATATTGCTTTAGGCATATCTGCTGCACAACACTTTAAAGTGTTGAAGAGCAAAGATGTCAGCTTGAGGACTAAGGTACGCCGAACCCAAGTCATGGTATTTTCAATAACCACATATGCATGTGAAAGTTGGACAATGAATAAGGAATATCGTAGAAGAATTGATGCTTTTGAGTTATGGTGTCAGAGGAGAATATTGAAAGTGCCATGGGCTGCCAAAAAAACCAAACAGATCTGTATTGGAAGAAGTACAGCCAGAGTGCTCCTTGGAGGCCAGGATGGCCAGACTTCTCTCATACATCAGACATATTGTCAGGAGGGACAGTCGCTGGAGAAGGATATCATGTTTGGTAAGGTGGATGGTCAGAGAAAAAGAGGAAACCTCCAGAGAGATGGATTGGCAAAGTGGCAGCATCAATTTGCTCAAGCGTGGCAACAGTAGTGAGGTTGGCCCCGGACTGGGCAGTGTTTCGTTCTATTGTACGTAGGGTCGCTATGAGTTGGTACCGACTCGATGGCACCTAACGACAACAACAAACATGGCTCGGAACCGACTCAATGGCACTTAACAGCAACAATAGTATTGTAGTTGTATTTTTAAGAGTCCTTTTCAATACCTATTACTGAAATATTTATAATTATGTGATGTTTAGAATGTGTTTCTAAATTATACAGGAAGCAGGGGAATTGATGGGGAGAGCATTGGTGGTGGATTGGTGGGTACATGAAGGTTAATTATATTATTTTTTATACTTTTGAAAGTCTTGGAAATTTTTCATGGTACAGACAAAAATTTGTGTGTGTAAGTCATACCTTTGATTTAAATAACTATTACTTTAATTAATTAATGTCTAGAGTCAATTTGGCACTATAGAATAAGCACTGGACTGCTAACCACAAGTTTGGTGGTTCGAATCCACCAGCCATTCCTTGGAAACCCTATACAGGATCACTGTGAGTCAGAACCAACTTAGTGGCACTTCACAACAACAACAATGTCCTAAAATTGAGGGTGTGCAAAGTAGCACTCTCAGAGGCTGTAGATAGAGGTAGGGACTCATGAACTGCCTCTGGAATTGTGGGCATCTTTGCTCCATCATTAGGATATGAACCATCTTGATTTTTGTCTTACGTTTCCAAAGAGCAAGGCAGAAAAGTTGTAAGTTAGTCTGTACTGGCCTCTAGGAGTTCAGATTGTTTTGATGAAGAGGCCATGGTTAAGTCAAAGTGCTTAACCTAGGGCAAACATTTTAAAAATAGTTCAACACAAAATGAAATAAACCATTGTTGTTGCTGTTATTAAGTGCCGTTAAGTCGGTTCCGACACATAGCAATCCTGCTCAGTGTTTCTGAGGCTGTAAATCTTTGTGGGAGCAGACAGCCTCATCTTTCTTCCATGGAGCAGTTGGTGGGCTCGAACCGCTGACCTTGTGGCTAGCAGTCCAGTGCTTATCCTACAGAATCAAGTCTTTTGAAACTAGTTAAACACAAAGGGAAATAAACCATTGGATTAGGTAAAAATGACAAACATTTTTCAATTTGTTCCTGGTTTTTACAAAACAAACCACTTTAACTGAGTTGAAACCCTGGTAAATTAGTAAATTTAGTCTTAGAGTATATAGTCTAACAGTGCAGCTTAGGTCCAGCTTCTCTAGTAGTTGAGCTGTCAGCAGCTGGGAACTCTCTCTCTCTGGCATGGTTCCAGGCAATTATTTATTGATGGGCATCTTTAATGGTTTGCTTTTTTCTTATTCCAGGATTTCCTTCAAATGCTGTTGGAGAACATCCCAGAAGAAAAAAGGTGAGGCCCAATTTAGGAGCTAAGAACCTAGTTTTGCTTTGGATGCTAAAAGTGACCCTGCCTTATTTTGGTTTATTACAACCTAGAAAGTTAAATTTTCATCTCCCAACAGGGGGCAATAAGCCAGAGTAAAGATGGGCCCATGCAGATAGGTGACTCCAAAAAAGTGGAATAGGAGGTGAGCCAAGGACAGTCTGTGGTTTGGCTGCTGTGAGAAGGACTGTGAGAGGCCAGTTCTAAAGTTAGGGTGGCTCCATTAGCATGGCTTAATATAAGGAAACACTGTTTAACTGAAAGCAAAGCAGGTAACAGAGTGATAAGAGCCTGCATGTGATGTCAGTCTCACCTTGGTCCTAACCCCAGCTCTGCCACTTGCCAGATAGGGGCTTTAGTCCCTCCAAATTTCAATTCTCTAAACTTCTCTGGAAGTGTCTTAGGAAAGATGAAAGGAGATAGCATAGGTGAGTATAAGTCCTCCGTTCATAATTTCTGTAATAACTATAACACTATTCATTATCATAGCAAGAACCATCTGCTATATATCAAGCACTAATTCATCATTATTCTTGTAATAGTGATAGCAGGCAGTCCTTACTGGGAAGTGGGATGGATTGAATTGGGTTTCCCAAAAATACATATGTCAACTTGACCAGGTCAGTGAGTCTCAGTAGTATATAATTATCTTCCATTTTGTGATCTTATGTAATTATCCTGTATGTTGTAAATCCAAACCTTTATGATGCTAATGGAGTCCTGGTGTGGTGCTGTAGGATAAGCACTGGGCTGGTAACAGCAAGGTCACTAGTTCAAGCCCACCAACCAGAAACCCTAGATAGCAGGGTTGAAGAATGTCCGGAATTTGGTCTGGCCCTGCCAAGGCAATCACAATTCCAGCCTTCACATTAGGGAGGAGTTCATTAAATGTTTGGCCAAATATAACAGACTAATTTTTAAGTTGATAATTGTGTATGGTCCATGAATGATGTTATAACTTTTGGCAGAAAACAAGGTTTCCCACCCCTTCTATACAAGGTAACTATGTGTAGAAGCACTGAACAACAACAGTGTTAATGAGGCAGGATTAGAGACAGTTGTGTTAATGAGGCAGGCTAGATTGTGTCTTAAACCAATTGCTTTTGTGATATGAAAGAGATTAAACTAGTGAGCAGGGAAGGGGGTACCTGATTCCCACTGGATTCGGCCTCCTTGCACTGAGACTTGGGAAGACTGATGCCAAGTCACATGGAGATCTCCAAGAAACACTGGACACACAGATGATGAACGCATCTTCCTCCAGAGCGAACAGAAAGAAAGCCTTCCCCCATACCCAGCACTGTGAGCCTGGACTTCTAGCCTCCCTGGCTGTGAAGAATACTCTTCAGTTTATTAAAGTCATCCATTTGTGGTATTCTGTTATTGCAACACTAGATAACTAAGCACTAGATAACTTGCTTTAGGCAAGCACTCATTTAATCCTCAAAACAACCCTATTAAGTACATTATTTTGGTAATAAGGGGACTGAGGTACTGAGAGGCTAAGTAACCAGCCTGAAATATGACAGCTGTGTGTGGCAGGGCTGGCTGTTGTTGTTGTTGTTAAGTGCCATCAAGTCAGTTCTGACTCAGATGACACTGTATCGGGTTTCCGAGGAGTAACTGGTGGATTTGAACCAGTGCTTATACTACAGCGACACACTAGGAAGGACTCCACAAGGATTCATAAAGGAGATTTAGGACCTAACTCAAGAGAGCCCCTGGATGCTGTAAGGAATGGATGCACTCAACTGCTAATCAAAAAGTTGGAGGTTTGAGGCACCTCGGAAAAAAGCCTAGAGCTCTATATCCAAAACCAAAACCAGTCGCTATTGGAAACGCTATGGAGCATAATTCCACTCTTGACAAGCATGGAATCGCCGTGAGTCAGAGCCGGCTCCAAAGCAACGAGTTTACAACTGGCCCCTGAGTCAGACTAAGTTTGTACCTAAAGGGAATACCCTGAAATAGAATTTCTAATAGCTAAATTGGTATTTAAGTGTTTAAAGCGGGACACCTCAAGAAATTAAGCCTAACCATACTCTCCCCGTTTCTGACCCACAGTTTTAGCTGTTTCCATGTATGGAGCAGATTTCCACATGTAGAAACAAATGATTCTACAGAGCCATGGATTTGATTTATGCAAGGCCAGGCACCCACATGCCAAGGGCCTGTCATACAGTGTCTTAAGGATCAGGTCTTTCCAGGCTAGTCATGAGAGATGACATGCAAATTCAGGGGAGGATCCAGTGACCTTGAGGATTATTCCGAACACTCGTTTTTTGGATTACCTTGTTTGTTCCATCTCTCCCCTCTTCTACCCTCAGTTCTGGCTTCAACAGCTAGAAACGTTATGGTTAGGTCTGTATGTTTTAATAAGGTGGAAATATATGTAAAACAACTAATACCCACATATGATTTGATAAACTCTTGTTTCTACCTCATCAAGCTCTCTTCTTTTGATGCTAAGGAAGCCTTTATCCAGAGAGACTGCATGGAGCCATAGAAATTGGCCGAGATATTTAGCTTTACAAGAGGCTGCACAAGGTTGTTGTGGAAGGTCTGAATGTTCTAGATTTTACCATTCTTTCTTTGTAAGCAGACAGAGATCAGAGATCGGCTTCATGCAGAAACCATACCAAGTGGGGTCATTGTTTCTAAAGTCAAGAATAACAGTTTACCTGGAGGGTGGTTTTTTTGTTTTTTGGGTTTTTTTCCTTTTGTACCTGCCCTGGAATAACTTTTCAGGTCCCCTGGTAGAATGGAATTGTATCTTTAGGAACTAAAGCAGAGAAAAAAAGGGAATTCATAGGAATGGTATATTCCCTCCTTAGGCTGTTGACCGTGTCTGTTTCTCAGCCATGACTGTGTTTTTTGAGAACATCTTAGGGCACAAATATAGCAACTTTTACTGAAGCAGCCCAGTGCATTTTTAGTTTTCAAATTTGTCTTTCTTTTCATCCTCTTCCTAAAAAAGACATAGAGTTCGTTTGGATGGTCCCAAGCCCTCTGGCTCTGAAGGATCAGGATTTTATAACTAAAAATGAACTGAAGCTACACACCATGAGGCCACAAAGCGGCTTGCGTTGTCGGTGTGGACAAAAGTCAGAGCAGTGTTTCTGTCTAACAGTGGCTGCCATCCACCACTCACAAGTCCTTTGGCTAGACTCCCTCTCTGGGTTTGAATTCTATTTGATTAACAGGTTTAAACGTCTTTTTAAAATTCTAAAAGCCAAGGTGATTTTATTCCTACAGTGCATCTATTTCAGGAGGTTCAAGAGACTCAGACGTCTCTTTGCTGCTAACTAATCTCAGAATCTAGTTCAACTATTAAAACAGACTGTTTACTCTCTTACCTATGCAACATATTGTACCAATTTTATCTTGATCTCCAAGGGCTCCACACCTACCCCCCGGAGCCTCTAATCTCTGGCCCCTGCTACATACTGATCCTTAGACACATCTGTTAGACACATGAGCCCTTCTAAACAGGGCAGGGTTTTTCACATCAGCTCAGCGGTCAGGGGCAGCGTTGTGTCGTATTGCTCTTGCATTGTTCTCTTGTGTGGCTCATTTCTCTGTTGAGTACCTCCCATATCTGGCCTTAGGCTGGACACTGGGAAACCCAGAGAGGAATTGATCTCAAACCCTATCCTCAGGGAGCTCCTAAGCCACAGATGGAAACTCATATGAAATGAGGCAGATCATTATGGCTTTAGTGTAGCAAGTGTTCTACCAATTGCCATAGAGTTGATTCTGTGCTCCCTATGTTTTCAAATGAATAGTTTTTCAGAAGTAAATCACCAGACCTTTATTCTGAGGTGCCTCTGGGTGGACTCAAACTGTCAGCCTTTTCATTAGCAGCGAATGAGTTCCCCTTGTGCATCACCCAGCGACTGCTAGAGCTCTTTTGTTGTTGTTAAGTGCTATCGAGTTGGTTCTGACCCATAGCAACCCTATATAGGGTTTAGGTTCAAAATCTGAGTGCACAGAGAATCCTAGACTTGCACTTCCAGGCAAAAATGGTTTAAAGTATGGGAATCCAGATTCCAAGGGTACCTCTGGGGCAGCATGGAAAATAGGTGCAGGTAGGACCAGAAGCCAGAAGGCCAGTGAGACTCCGGAAGAGCAATTCAGTGAAGAGACCGTGAGCGTTGGACTTATGCAGGGATGGTGGCAGTGGTCTTGGGGGTGAGGTTCATGAGCAAATCCAAGGGATGTTTGAGAGGTGCCACAGATCAGCTTGTAGATTATGGACAATGAATAGTGGAGTCAGGTATGAGCCTGACATTTCTTTCTTTACCATTTGACTACACTGCAAAATAGTTGGAGGTACAGGGGCACAGATGTTCTGTTTGGGATGAGAATTGGGCAGAGGAAGTAGAAGGGGAGAGCATCTGAATACAGGAGTTCAATGTGAAGTTTCTGTTTAAGTGCTCCTATTTGATGAAAACAACATAAGGAAAGAAAAAGAAAAAAAAAAAAAATGCTTTCCTGGATGTCTGGGCAGAAGGAAATGCAGATAAATACTGAACTCTGGCCTCCCCTGCATGAAAGTGGCCCAGGATGCCTCATCCAATGCACCTGGCCCCCATGATAGCCCAACTTTACCACCAGCTCTTGGTTCTTTCTTTGCCCATCAATTATTATGTTTGCATGTGCATGTTCATGTATTTGTTTTAATCCTAGCTCTTTCCTCCTCCATAGAACTAGGGAGTATTCATTTCATAAACATCACATCAGCACTCTTCATTATCTCTCTCAGCACAAATGGCATGTTTGGGTCAAGAAAATAAGATACTGTGTGCAAAGCTTCAAGATGAACACATTTATATCCACAGAGAAAGAACTTAAAAATACAACTTGACATTGTTAGCTACCCTCAAGTCACAGCAGGCGCCCTCATGTACAACAGAAGGAAGCGCTAGCCAGTCCTGCACCATCCTCATGACCAGGGGCAGGTTCAC